TAGTCTTCGCTTAGCCAAATAAACAACTATGATTCAGAAGTGGATTTAGTACGATGGATCATCTTCACGTTGTAAAACAAATGATTCAGACAAATTACGAATGTCCGCTTTGCTTGGATTCGTTGATTTGTCGAAAGCTTTCGAATCAGTCTGCACCTGGATTCCTTTAGAAGACAGGGAATCGTGAAACGACACAGAGATCTCGACGCCGCACTTTACAACAATGCAGCTGCTAGAGTAAAGCTTCACAGAAATTGTATCAACTTAGAAATCGACATAGACATCCCTCGTGATGTACTCTGTACGATGCTCTTCACTGCGTCACTCGAAGTGGTTTCATGACAGTATATTGGAAAAATCAGAAACTCTATATAAATGAACACTACTTAAGCCACTAATGCCAATATTTCCCGGTCATCTGTACATCTGTAATCCGATGATGTGTAATTTTGTAAAACTGTTCTTTTGAAAACACGAAATTTGTCCGCCGCCAGTTATCACTGTTTTGTATGCCTCGTAGCATAGTTGTCTTTTTTTCATCTGTAAATGCCACCTTTCGCTTTGATTTGTGTCCTTGGCGTGGCTTAGATAGAGATGAAGTTTTTCTACGACTTTTATGAAGTTGATCTCGTATAAAAGATCATTTTACGAGTCCGCTGTCATTGCATGCTTATCTTTCAGATATACTTGGCAAGTCGGTGCTTTTGGAGGAGAATTCGCTGAACGTCGTTCGATCGAACATGACTATGTACGCCGGTCTAGCGGCAGCGGTGTTCGTCTTCCTGTTCGCTTTTTTGGTGATGTTCGCCCTGGTGCTGCGCCGCAAGACCTGCCACCGTTGTAACAAGGATTACGAAATAGCGCCGACTAGCCCGGTTCACGTCGTAGCCGCCAACCGACCAGACGTCGCAATGCACTCACCGTTGGTCTACGATTTGGCCCCTAGCATGAAGTCCGACCGAAGCAGGGTCGGTCTCTTGGCGTGTAAGTTCTTCAGAGTTGTCATTTCGATCGTGAAACGTTAGTTGGATGTTTCCTCCGAAACGATTCCACAAACCACGGAGTAGTTTCTTTCAGATTTTGCTTCGAACCCTGGAGATGCCGGGTTCGATTCCTCTCCAAAACGGTCTTTGCCTTACTCGCGAATTCCTGGAGCAATGAACTTACCACCTTCACAGCTTGGTTGTTCAATCGATGGAACG